TAAGTACCTTAAAATATTGGTGAAGCAGGCAACATATTATTAGAAAGTAATTTTTTGAAAACATTTCATGGTTGAGATTTAACTTCTCAAGAACACAAAAGTTTTCAAGTTTTTAACTGCAAAGAGAAGTCCATTATCTTAAACGACAGTCATCAGATCGCCACATATTGGTAGGTAATTTAAGAATTAACTACCTATTTGAAATAGCATAAAGATTGTAAATATCTGCTGTTTTTATTGTTTCGTTAACAGGTATGTATACACAATTTTCCCCCCTTTCAAATATATTTTAACAGACAGATGGTAGCACTGCCTATGTAGGAATGGTTCGGATTATTCATCTCAATTGTATTTTAAATATCTCCTCACTAGGTCATCAGAATTTTACAATACTGTACAGTGCTTCCTTTTATAACAATATCTATGTAATGACTGAGTCACAGGTTCTGGGAATGTCTGTAAATATCATAGCAAAAAGTTTGAATTTCTTGTTCTTCTGCTTCTTTTTTGTTACATGATAACTCAAAAACCAAAACAATAGTGTCAACCAATTTCTCTGAGGTGACATAGATTCAAACGGAGTAACCACTTTTTATAAGTATTATTAATAACTAGTGGTAATTTTTTAAAAAAAAATCATAATTTTAGTGCAAACGATGCTATCATTACCCCTTAAAGTTAGCTTTCTTACAGTAATATTGTGTTTCTTTAAAAAGTTTAAGTACAGGGTGAAACAGGAATTACCAGCCAATAATAGATAAACAATAAATATTACAGTTGAAACCTTATTGTATTTAGAAGTTGGTTATAAATACCATCTTTCTATGTCTATTGAAACACTGTATTAAAAAACAACTAAAGAAAACTTTTCAAAAAAGGTAATAAATGTAGGGATGGCTAATGTCAGTCCTTCAAAAAAAATGCAAACAAGATAGTAAGGATGACATTAGCATCATACTTACATAATAGCACAAGCAAGAATTAACGTATAGCAATATATATATGCGTATTCAATCATAATTGAGTTTAATTTATCCTATTTTGTCTGCTAACATTCTACTACACTGTCTGCCTGTGCTATTATGTAAGGGTGATGCAAATTCCATCCGTAATATCCTGTTTGAATTTTTTAAGGATTGATATTAGCCATCCCTACATTTACTTCCTTTTTAAAAAAGTATTTCTTTGCTTGTAACACTTGAAACTAATATTTTCACATTGCAGTTGCGTATGAACGCTTTATTTTCTTACATACGCGCACTCATTTCCATACTAATTCGTTTCTTAATGAGAACGAGATATTTTTATATTTATATTTTTAAGGATTGATATTAACCATCCCTACATTTACTTCCCTTTTTTAAAGTTTTTCTTTACTTGTAACACTTTAAACTAATATTTTCACATTGCAGTTGCGTATGAACGATGTGTTTTCTTACATATGCGCACTCATTTCCATATTAATTCGTTTCTTAATGAGAACATGATATTTTTATAATATTTTCCTGCGTTAAAGGAAGATCACTATGAATAATGATTCTGTAGATGAATACATTATAAACGAGTCACTGCCAGTGTTGTAATTAAGACAATAATCATAACTCCTACGTGGACATGCAGCGTATATGTAAACTGCCTGGATATGACCTCAAAGTGTGAGTGAAATCGAACATGTGAAGATGAGCACTCTGTTAAAAAATAAAGAAAAAAATAAGAACGTCAGTGTATGTCTAAGCGTGTATGCTAGTCTGTCTTTAAACTATGCGGAGAGTTTGGTTGCTATGGCAATACTGCAATGCAGCAGTAGCGTCTATTTTACTAGGAAAATGAAGCTCGGCCAACGAACTGTTGCAGCTACAATATAATTCAGCATGTGTCTATCCTCTTTGAAGTATTTATTCCACCTATTCCCGTTATTCCTTAGGTCAAGTGCAATTGAAAATCTGTTTCTAAGGAAAGCAAATAACATTGAAGCGAATGCGGCATATTTGCCATAATAAATATAAACTGAGTTCACCAATGTTTAATGCAATATGTTTTGCTCAGTTTTAAAATTCAAGGATATCTGAACCATAGTTCATTCTTCTTGTTACTTATTTGTTCAAACACCCGTTGTCGATATTATGTTCGCCCAAAGACGGTTAACTATTTTATGTGTGTGTTTGAAGAATAATTCACATCTTTTGTCTGATAAAGTAAAGTATGCAGACATTTAGATTGGTGTTTTAGAAGTAAAGCCTGTTTTTTTTTTAAAGTAGAACAAGGAAGAGATGAACTATACAGCAATGAAATGAATTGATGATAAGATACTTTCGAATCCTAAATGACATAATGTAGTTCAGTGTCTGTTCATCATCTTAAAAAGTATCTATAACACATACAAACGAATTATGTCATTGACTTTAAAGTACCGAACTTTCTACGTCGTAAAATTTAAATTATTTCATACCATATTTTATAATGTTAGGAATTTAAGATCATATATTTCGTTGAGAGTGTCTGTATATTTCTTTGCATAAACACTATATCTATATACTTAGTTGAATACGAGACCATAGTCGTATATATACATATATAATGTTTAGCAGAATTTAAGTGGAACATAATAACTCCAAATATCACTTTACGCATAGTCTTCTCGATGCAAAGACTATGGCGAATAAAATTATATTGATACTCATTTAATACGAAAGTTAGTAGTATTTAAACACAGAGATGCATAACGCGTACGTTACTGTCATATTATTATTGTGTAAACCTACGCAGAGCATCGTGTTTTGTTTTAATTTTAGAAACATGTTTATTTGTTTTGAATTTCGCGCAAATTTACTCGAGGACTATTTGCACTAAGAGTCCCTAATTTTGAATTGATAGACTAGAGGGAAAGTAACCAGTCAAAATCACAAACAGCTAACTATTAGGGCTAATCTTTTACCAAGAAAAGTAGGATTAACCATCATATTATAACGGACGCATAGGTGAAAGGGCGAGCATTGGAGACAGGATTCCATTTCGCGACCCACAGATCGTGAGTCAAGTGCCCTAACCACCAAACTACGCCAGGCCTTTTTTATAAACAACAAAATGGGTGCTGTTATTTTTCACTGGAATTTTTAAGATCCACATCTCAATTTCAATGTTCTAAACAAATAAATAAATGTTAATCAATATAATAATAAATGAGCTAGCTTATAATATTATTCTAAAAAGAGAAGCAAACAAAAAATATTAAATTCAATTTAAAAACAACAACAAGATTCATAAATATATCGTGATTTTCAAGTTAAATATTTCTCTTACTGTAACTTAAAGCGTAAACGGTGCACAAGACAAAGATATAAGTGTAATTTATACACTAAGTTTTAAGATCAACCATTACATTGAAACTTTCTACTTAGTTAGACAAATAGGAGTAAATTTATAACATAGTTTGATGTTAAAATATTATGCGTGCTTTTTAACTGTAGATATTCGCAAGGGATTACAGAAATGTCATCATCACATGTTCTTTAACAACACATGTGATCCATTTGAATAAAGTATTGTGGCATCTATCTGGTACATTATTCTCGAAAATTACAGGAAACATTTTTATCTTTACATACATTATTGTGAGTCAAAACGTACAGTGGAAATCAGGGTCGCGGCTTAGTTGTTAGTTGGCCCGAAATGTGTATCTGAGGGTCCATGGTTCTCGTGCTGTTACCACAAATTCACGCTATCCACTTTGGTGCCTCAGAGTGACGGAGAAATTCCTCCGTTCGATTAAAGTAGTCCAAGAGTTGATGGTGGGTGTTGTTGACTAGCTGCTTACTCTCTAGTTCAAAATTAGGAAAGGCTATCGCAGATAGTTCTTGCGTAGCTCTACATGGATATACGAAATATATAAACTTTTTTTTAAACCAGGTTTTTTCATACTGTTAAGCCTCGGCACGAGCTCTTTATACAACTTATTACATATTCAAGCAGGTTGGCTAAAACGTGAAAGATTATTTCATAAGTCACTTTATGGTTGAATAAATGATTCCTTCAAAACAACCGACTTTATATATATATTTCTTTTGTGTGATCTTATTCATTGAACTAACCAAAAGTTTGTATTGTCAAGATATCTTCATGTTGAAAATCGAGAGATATGACTTAGCACTATAAGAACTTAAATAAAGCACGTTGTCATTCGTCTTATCTCTTCATCCAACTTAACAAAATCCCATCATACACTGTTGCTATTCATTAGATGTTATGAAATACATTCACATGCGTACTCAAATGAAGCAAATATACCTCTTCGCATAACCATAAACAGTATTAATTAAATAAAGAAAACAAACCTTACAGATTCACATATAGGTTTATTGAACTCTAAACGGTCTGTCCTTTATTTATATTAGGTTTCTTCCCTTTTAAATAAAATGCTCAAATTTTCTAAACTTTTACTTCTGACAATATGTAACTTGCACATTTCCTTATTCTAACACTAACACATTTCAGCCTATCTGCTTGTCATTCATCCTCTATATGCTAGCATACTTTCATAATTTCCCCCTTTCATGTATTTCGTGACATAGGTTCAAAAATATCGGAATAAAGAAGTTGCTATCAGATATTTATTCCAAGTAATAATATAAATGTAAATAAAATAGGAGTGAGAAGTAACTTAATTGTTGCTCGAAACATTGTGAAGCGTGTATGGCGGTTTTAACGCTTTTGTTTGACACTCAGAATGATTAAAATGTTAAACAGTACGTTAACATCATTCACAATTTAAATCATGCATAATATTATGATACTAATAGATATGCTACCATATTAATTCTTGTTGATGATTTGTAATTGTGTTCTAATCTTTTGTGTGTCATGCATTCTCTTTGAATGAATAAAATCATATGTCATAGAGAAAATCCAGTCTAAAGCTACACACTGTGTTGTTCTCCGTGGGAGATCGAACTCTGGATGTTAACTTTACAAGCCTGTAAGCTCACCGCTGCACCGAGAGACCAACTTTAACGGTTCTCCCTAACTAGGTAAAACTACAGAAAAACTTTTAAGGCGTGATTCTTCTGACTTTATTTTCTGTAGTTTTGTCCATGTCAGTATTTTTAGTATAAAAAAGAATAAATTATTTATACATTAATTATTCTAATATAATAATATATTTTAAAACTTTATTCTTTAGAAATAATGTGGTTTTTTTTTGAAAAATACTATAAAATGTACTTTTACAGTTTGAGCAACACTATTTAGTACAGTCTTAACAAATAAGTAAACAAAATACAACATTAAAACACAACATATATTCGTCGTGCCAAGTACGAATCTGGAACTATGGCAATGAAAATAGGGTGTTATCAACTAATTCAAAATATTTTATGTTAACTGAACTTTCATTTTATCGTACATAATTTTAGAAGAGTGCTTTTTATGCCCCTTCTAAAAGCTATTTTATTATAATAAGAATTTGATATTTAAATGTTTGATAGATAATAAATAGTAATATGTAAATTATTATTAAAAACAAAACATCAGAAAATCTATACGACAACAATGACAAATTTTTCGATAGTGCTTTTATTACTTGGTCAAGTTATTCTATACGTAGTTTATAGTTTTATATACAGCAGTGTTATATATACATATAAAATGGAACATGCTATATGTACTCGACACTAAAGATACCCCTTGATTCTTGTGGCACATACTCGATGCTCAAGACAACTTGATCCTCAGTTTACTCGGCACTCATAATACTTCTAGTGTTTTTAGGCATGTATTTGAAGTCCACATGACATAAATTCGTTCAGGCAGTGTATGTCAGTACTACAAAGATTTAAGCCTAATACTTTCATTTATTCTCTAACAGAGAATGAGCCTTTTCATTTGTTAACGGACGGTATATTTGTATTTGAAAACAGTAAAAGCGAACTGTGATCAATACGAACTTTACAGAATCCTCAGTGGTAGTCCCTAAGGAATAATCGCGTCATTAGTCGTCGATCAACCAGCAGCAGTTGGTAACACTTTTCACTTCACAGTGGAAGCCACTCGAACCACTTTCCTCTTCTTAGCGATAATCTCGCTAAAGGGAATTAATGAACAATATAGCACCATTTATTTTGTAGTGTACTGTGAATTGAGTGGCTCGTTAGTAACTCCATAGGGTCTACTTGAATCAGTAAAATATATATATATATATATACAGTATTGGAAATAATTATGGAAATGGTAAGGATGAGGGGTATAAAAGGCAAGTACTACAGGAATGCCTCCTGTTTATCATGATACAGTCATGGATGGTTCGTAGTTTACATCGTGGCTAGCTATCATCGAACCAGTTAGAAAATGCCACACCAGTATAAGAAATACAGAAGCACAAATATTCATATTATCAACTGTTAGAGTTATGTGAATCCAATGATCGCTGCCAGGACTGAAATATCAAATGGCAAACATGTAAAATTCAAAGTTTTAGCGATCATGAATATTGAAACATTGTTGGAAAACTCCATGTTTTAGTAAGAGATGTATGCGAGACTAAATAGGTTACGTGAAACTGGTCCATTGTTTAATATCAGATCTTGTCGAGGTAGAAAACAAACACTCTGCAAAAATAATGTTAAGTGCTAATTATCTTAGGATATGCTCTTTATGAAATAGATGATAGTTGAATATGGGTGTTGACAATGACATAACTGTAAATATCATGTTTAAATGTATGTTACAGTTAGAACATTAAGATATATACTACTATGAAGTGGTCTTGATGGATATGTAGTAGCTTGAAAATCACTGTTGAAAAGAGGTAACCAGACCAAAAGATTTAATGAGCAAAACATGAGACTTGTGCACTTTACAGACGAATCTAAGTTTTAATTGTTTGGCAACAAAGAATGACAGTTCATTTGACAGCGGAAGGGACATGTGATGTCATAATCAACGTTCAACATCTACTGTATGGTAGGGGAGCAGTAAAGGTTTGGAGATACTTATCTGCCAACAATGCTGGGAATCTACACAAAACTGATGGCACCATGACTGATGACAAGTACATACTAATTCTGATCAATCATGCCACTTCCTCAAGAACATAACTCATCGGGTGAAGATTCATCTTCAAGCAAAAACTAATCTCGTGCATACAGTAACTGTGGTGAAATAATATTTTGGTGGTAAAGTGGCCGACAGAATACTCACAACTATAGTTTGTCCTGCACAAAGTTCCGAGATGAAGATTTGTGAGGCTGTATGGACTTATAAAAAACGAAGAAGGTCAAATAGCGTGAATAAATTCTGGAGAGTAATACAGGACATTTGGAATGATATTCCACAATTGACACTGATAAACTGTACGTAACAAAAGGAAAATAAGGCGTAATTCTCTGTGTAATACAAGGGGCTCACATCAAATACAGGCGCACTGTACAGTTTATTTGCTTTTTTCTGTATTTTTTCTAATAGTGTACCTTTAATAAATTCATCATCTAGTTGCAGATTACTTGTTGTTTGTGACTCCTGTATATGTACATCACCTACATGTTTCCATAATTATTTCTATTGCTGTACATATATGTCAATATAAAGACACAAAAGTTTCATTGTGCTAGCTTCAAGGGTAATGAAAATTCATTTGAGAAAAATAATTAACAATAATTAAACCGTTGCTTCAAAGATTCTGTTTTATGTTGTGTCAATCAACTGAAACACTTAACTACTTAAAAGGAAAGCAGTTGATTAGTTTCTATATTTTTCTAAATTATCATTTTATATCGAATGGTATGATGGCAACGAAAGGGTACGCGAGTGTAAACCGGTTAAAATTACCTGAAACAATTTAAGCTCAATAATGATATGAGAGTTAATTTTTTATTATATATAACGTATAAATAGTATGCGGTAGATAAGACAGCAGTGTTTTACAGGTTGGTCACGAATGTTTCAGTGATATCCGCCCTCCTCCCAGTCATTCTTTTTATAGGACTAGAGGACCTTAAGCCTTTATAGGACCTTAAGCCTTAATCATGTAATACTCTAAGTTTTCTTTTTCCTGTGAAACCAAAAATGGGTGAAAAGTGACAGAAGTTGAAGAGTATAGAAAAGAATGTTTACTGATTTTATCATGACATTATACTGTACGAATTACGTGTTTCTGATAGGTCTCTAAACCAGGGCTCCCAAACCCGAGGACCTATTTAATTTAAGATTTTTTCGCGCACCTCCAAACCAATCGATGTTTTTTGTTTTGAGAAAAAATTTCGTGTACATGAAAAGCTGTATTCCAAGATCAAATGTTTTAATTCATATAAATTTAATTTTCCGAAAAATATTTTTTATTCCATAAATCGTATTAAAAAAAAAACATGTTTATAAAATTTCGGACATGACTCCGCGAATCCCAATTTGAGAAACGCTGGTTTAAATCATATTCCACCATAAACACGGTGTATCTTTTTTGTTGGACTAATAATTATTCTAGTAGCTTTAATAGCAAATGTTTAATGCTCATGTCTCTGAAACACACGTAACAATTTTATGAACATAATTTCCGGACACATTGTACTTTAAAAGTAATGGATGAATTACTTGTGAATTATTTTTGTGTATATTTCATACTGGTATTGTGATTGTCCAAGAGAATCAAAATAGACACTCTAGTATAGCATGCTATTTGAATAAAAAATCGATTGTAATGGATCTATGTGTGTGGATGAGCTGGCTGTGATATAAACCTTAAATGAGAATAAACTAAAATGAAATAGAAAAATTGAATACGGCATTATATAGAAACAAATATATGTGTTGTGCCAATATTACGTTGTCAGGGGGTTTACATTAAGATAAGTCCCCGTGTTGGTTCAGCGGTAAATTTATGGACTTAGAACACTAAAATCTGAGATTCGATTTCCCGTGGTGTACAGGGCTCGAATAAGTTATTATATAGCTTTGTACTAAAACAAATAAGCAAACATTAAGATACCACGACCTTATTAATTTCAATTTAGTATCTACGTAAGAGTGTTAGAGACTTTGTTGTGCTCCAAGCAGTACACACGGTCTTATTGATTGTTTAATCTTGGCGTTTGTGGATATTATTTTGTAATGTTGTCTTGCCGAGTTTCGTGAATATAATTAATGTTAATTAAGAAAGTACTTAACAGATGATTCAATACAATGTAATATGGTATACAGTGTATCCCCATCGCTATATAGACCAACTTTTTTCAGACATTTCTCTAACTTAGGTACACTTCACCATTCCAACATTGTAATATGTACCTTAGCTTACCCAGGAAACAGAGTAGCGTATTGTCATGGCAACGAGACACTAACCCCCGGATTCACAAGCCGGCAGGTTATCCTCTAGGATGAGCCCGGCCTCTCTATTGGTATACATAATTTCAATATAAAAAAGAGCGAACTAAAAAAGTTGTTTGTTAGCTGTTATTTCCTTAGATGCATTTTTGCATTTGCGAGCCCTTTTTTGTCTTGTTTTAAATGTATATAAAACAATGAAAAACACATTCCTGTGCTTTATTACTTTCTGTATCTGTTTATAACGAGCCTCGTAATATTTTCAATAGTTATCTTTCAGACATCAATAGAAAATCGAAATAATGAAAAAATATTCAAGGATTATTAAACCCATAATTGCTTACATATGTCAACTAAATAAAATTAATAATAGCTGAAATATAATAAAATCTTCTAATTTCTAAAATAAACTGGAAAATGAATTTGTTTTAAAATACAGAGAAAATTAAGAAATAAAATTTAAAGTAAAATTGTTGTCATTATTAGTAACCTATAAGTTTATCTTCTAAATCTAATTAGTTTATAATTTATTATTATTATTACTATTAGATACTAATTATTTTATATCCTAAATATGCTTCTCTCTTCAGGGGAGTCCTGAGTAGAGATATGTAATGGCAAAAAAGCTGGGATTCGACCCTGGGTCTTCTAGTTCACTCGTTCAGGTTTTTACGAATCAAAAAATATATTAATAACAAATCTCAGCACAACAACGACT